CTGTCGCTGGGCACCACTGAAAAGAGCTTGGCCCCATCCTCCTGACACCCACCCTGCAGATATTTATAAGCATTTATTAGGTCCCCTCGGAGCCTTCTCTTCTCCAGGCTGAACAAGCCCAGCTCCCTCAGCCTCTCCTCGTAGGGGAGATGTTCCAGTCCCCTCATCATCCTTGTAGCCCTCCGCTGGGCTACAGAAGTGTTGTGGCTCTTAAAATGAACTGGACTGTGCCTGTATCTGTCCCTAGTGCTTATTCTCCTCTTGCAGTGTCTCTCTCTGCAGTAACCTGTCCCCGAACCGTGAGCCCTTCTCCGGAGACGGGTCGGCTTAACTCTGCAGTGTGCTCTGGAAGTCCCAGGTCCGTTGTCTGCAAAAACAAAGCTGGCCTTTTCCTTGGAGACAGACCTCTGCATCCTTGCGGCATCTGTTGCAGCTGTTTCCGATGGTTTGTTTGTTCGGATTTATTGCAGAACAATTCTGTGCCCATCTCGGCACTCTTGAAAAAGAGTTCCTAGGTTACTGTGTTTGCAGTGCCGTAGAAATTCAGGAATGGGGATTGCGAGAAGCCGTTTGGCAATTCCTGCTCTTGGGAAGGAGCTGGTCTGATAGATGGGCTCTCCTGTTTGCCGTAGCCGGGTTCTCCTGCGGCCAAACAAGGTCGCCTGCTTTACAGTGATCAGAGTAAACTCGATACCGAGTGACAATACTTTAATTATTTCTCCAAGGAATTGAGCCTCCTTTTAATTTGCTTCCTGAAAGGCGTTGCCTAAATTGCATATGTGCACAGCTTTCCTTTCTAGTGGAAAACTACTGTACTTGGTGCTAGCCAAACGTCTTGGCTTAACGATCGCGAGCGATGTGTGGGTTTGTCCCAGGATTTTCCAGTGTGTGCAGCGAGCTGGAGCTCCCTTACCAAAGCCACCTTTCAGGAGATTTGTGGTCTGGTGTTAAAGATGATCCGAGTATCAGATTTTGTGTCAGGGGCATCTGTTCTTTTGGAGTTTAAAGGTTTATTTTTGCAAATATAGGACCAGAAAAGCACAGTTTGATTCTGCACTAGGAAGTAAAGGCTCTGGAAGCACAGCTGGAAAGTTTTATTTGAAGTTACCAGGTTGAAACAAAAAAATTTCACTGGGCTTTGAGCATAAAACATAAAATCCTCTGTATGTAAAATATGGCCGGAGTGAGGTTTGTTGGAGTTGTTTGCTGATGCTGTGGAGGGCTTCAAAGATGAGACCCACCAAGGAGCTTTACACTCGGAGCAACTGGGGAAAGGTGGGTTTGAGAAGCTGGGTGACGGCTCTCGTAGCGGCGTAGTAAAAAACCCCGGCAAAGCGCTGTGTGCTGCGACCTGTCCCTGCGAGGCTGGCGCGCCCCGGCCTCCGTCCGCCGCCCTCGGTCCCCAGGGGGCTGGTGGGTGTTGGGGAGCCAGCCTGGCTCCGCGTGTGAGATTTCTCACTCCGTCTCTCCCTTCCCCTGGTTCCTCTTCAGAGAAAGCTTCTCTGGCATCTGCTCCGGAGCCGCCGTGCAGCGGGGAGGTGTGCTGAGGGCTGCTGCCCGGGAAGCGGTGCTTGGTCGTTTCGGTTTAAGTTTCCAAATCAATTCTGCTGCTCAGAATCGTATCAACAAATACATTGCATTTTATTCAGGAAGATCTTTTTGGATTAGGCGAGATCAGAAGATCCAGGCATGCGTGAGAGAAAAGGCTCCATGGCTCGCTCGGCTCCCGTGCCTGTGGGGTGACGTCTTGATGACAGCGGAGTTTAATTGCTCTCTGCTTTGCTGATACAAGCGGTTGTCCGTGCAGGGACAGAGTTTCTGCTTTACGTTGCAGACACAAAGCATTTTAATTAGGCTACGCCTTTTTTTTTAACCTAATGGTGTGGCTCACTCTCTAAACTTCCTCAAAGGTGGTGGTTTTCTGTATTCCAAGTGGGCCGGTGTCTTCAGTGCTCAGACTGTGTAGTGATGTAAAATTTTGTATCCTTACGATGCTTCCATCGTGCGGAGCTGTGAACGTTGAAATTCTGTAACTCGGCCACAGTTTCAGTAATGTCAAGGGGTTTTTCTGAGCTGACATTTTTAATAAAACTTGTTTTCTATCTTATAGGGGCACTCTTGGTTTCTGGCCCTGGAAAGTTAAACTGCTGAGGAAGTGACGTTTGTGCTCTAATAGCCCTCTTAAAACCATGCGATTGTAAACAAGGAAGCCAGGATGTATTTTGCAGTTTAGCAGTAAAAAAACTTTAAAATGTACAGCTTAGCATTTTGGCTGACATAAAACCTCTTCGTCGTTTTATTGCTGTTTGCACCGTGTTATGGCTAGGATTTGTAGGTGCTGTAATATTACAGTGGTAATATGCATCCATTAATGCTTATTAGGAAAATGGTAGATGATAATAAATACAAACTGCAGTTCACAGAGTAATTGTTAAACCTCCAGCTCCAAACCTTCATCGAAAGCACCTTTTTAAAAATTATTTGTATTAAAAGCTCAAGTGCTCGCTTCTGCCCCAAACAAATATTTATTTTAAATGTTGGGGAGAGGGGAATGGGGTAGAAGGGTGAGGAACTGGGCAGTTTTGTTCTGTGACAACACTTGGCTCGTCGAAGTACGGAACGGAGTAATCCCAGAGAGGAGGAGTGAGCGAGGTGTGGAGCAGGCAGCGTGGGGAGTGCAGGCTGAGGAGCGCCCGTCGGGCGCGGTGGGGTTTGCGGCTGCCGATCCCCACACCTCTGTAAGGACACGGGACACCCCGGTCCTCCCGGAGCATCCCCACGGCTGCGTTTCCCACCTCAACGGCTGACCATTGTCACCGGGGCTGCTGACACCTCTCTTGAGTGGAAAGCTAAACTTTTGCTTCAATAGTTGTGGATTTACGTGGAATTTCCAAGACTCCTTCCCCAAGAATGTCATATTTGAGTAGCAAAACCCGTAGCTTGTCTCCGAGGCATCTGTAGTATCTAAAAAGGTCTGGAAGGCTTTGTAGTTTAGGTCAACAAAAATTATATAGGATCTATAATTTTCAAGTCTCAGCAGGCTCGATCCCATCTGCAGTCTGTTGGGGTCCTCAACTTCAAATGAGACCGCTGGGAGGCCTGAAATTGCAGATGGGAATTGTGTTGCAGGGAGACGGTATTTGAATTCCATAGGTAATAGATGTGATGTGAAAAAAACATATTCAGGAGGCTTTTTACTTCTGTGTTTCTGGTAGGAGGTAAATATAAGCCTTGAAAAAGTGGAATGTCGTGGGAGAAGCCTTTTGTCTCTACCTGGTACGCGGTGGTTCTCTCTTGGGCCGGCTTTGGCTAATTGACTGCCGGTAAACTTCACGCAGAGTCACTCGGAGTTGTTGGGGGTATATTCAGAGGCAGTTATTTCCCCTGGGATTTATATATCTTGCTACTAATGAACTTTGGGGCTTTGGGGTGTCTCTGGTGAGTCTGTCGCAGCGAGACGTGGTGGATATATTTGCTTTGGTTTTGGTCCGTGTTTCACTTTGCACGGTCTGCGTGGTGTGTTGAAAACGAAAATGTAAGTGGAAATCTGCGTCATTGGGTTCTGTGCAGGTCTGCAGGACACTTCCACGAGCATCCAGCTCTGCTCGAAGCGAGTGTCCTCCCGGGTTGGGATCTGGCCCTTTTTTTCCATCCTTTGCCCCGTTGTGCTGAGAAGCCAGTAGAGGAAGGAATATGCCTATATTTGGACCATGCTGCATGGGCAAAAGAAATATAACCTAGTCATAACCAAATAATAAAGAGGAACTTCAGCGAGTTTGGGGTATTGGCGAGTCTGAAACGTATGAATTTTAAGCAATTTCTGGTTTTTCTCATTCTGTAACCGACTGCTGAGGTGCAGCGGCTTTACCTGGCTGGAATGGCACGTGACGGTTCCAGACGTCCTGGCAGTGCCTGATTTGGGGTTGGCATGATTTTGTAGTTTCTCTGTGTGTGTTTGTTGGACTTCTTGCTGCTAATTTTAAATGTTTGCCAGAAGCTTTAAATTCTGAAAATAATTCCCTTGTCCCAACCTAAATAAAGGTGAGCTTTCTTTTGCTCTGTTAGCTCGGCAGTTGTGACTGAACGGTCAAGAAAATGGATAAATACACCAAAACTGGGTATAGGCAAATATTTTCCATATAACGCTGCCTCCAGTGTAAATTCCAGTAAATGCATAACAGAACTTCTGGAAACAACGTATTCTTTAATTATCTGTATTTCCCTGAAGAAGCGGGGAGGCTTCCAGCTGCTTACTTGGCCTGAGGATTTCAAATGTCCTTTCTGGTCCTGTGTAGGAACAGCCCATCAAGCTTTTCCACTAAACATTTTTAAAACCTCATGCCAGCTTCGATGGTACCCGATAAAGTATTTTATTAGTTTAACATTCAATTTTTGTGTGTTTTATTGACCCTTTCTTGTTCCCCTGTATTCTACTCAAGCTTCCACGTGCCAGATCTGGAGTATTTAAGTGTGAGGAACTGTTTGCGCGTTGCCACTGCCTCTGAGCTTTCAGAGCGTGTAGTAAGGGTTACGAGCTCTCCTCTACCCCGGGGAAGCTGGAGGATGAAGATGAGCATAATACCACGCTAATAAAAGACAAATGTTTTGTGGGAGCTTTGGGGATGAGTTCTTGGTTTTTTGGTTTAATCGCATGACTTCTGAAATAATCTGACGGTATCTGGAGGACCGTCTGACAAAAAGCACTTGGGTCCGTGGGGTTTGATTCACGTTGGCATCTTGGAGCAGAGCTTTTTTGAAAGCTTGCTGCTTTATTTCTTCGCTGTGCCCGCAGAATACAGCAGGAGCTAGGGAAGGCAGCGAGCTGGGCACAGAAGCGTGGAAATGCTCTTTCTAGATACCAAAAAAGTGAATTTTTATAGAGTAAAATGCTGGGTTGTCACCTGATGTAACTGGGATCTGTTCAGACTCTTTCTGAGGGTCTGTTTGCAGGTCGGGTAGGTACAGTGAAGCTGGCAGTCCAAGTTTGGGTAGATCTTGGACAAGAACAGCCCTGCGTTTGCGGTTCAGGTGCTCCTTTGGAAGTTATTCCGATGGAGCTTTGGGGCATTGGTGGGTTAGACTGCAGGAGGGACTCTCCGGTTTCTTAAAACCATTCATTTTCTCTTATGGTAAGATGGGAGGAAGCTTGACGCAATTTCTTACAGATCCATTGTAGGAACTAGGGCACAGCGAAGCCGTGGTGATGATTTGCGAACCTTTCAGTCCTGCGTCAGGACGCCTGTTGCTGAAACAATAGTGAGCACCGAGCAGACACCGAACTCGCGTGTCGCAGGTGCGTTCAGAGGGGCTTTGCTTGCTCTGAGCGTATGCATAGGTTAGAAGTTCATTATTCTTGCGTGGCAGTGCTTGTTCTCTGGTCCCCCAGGTCCCAGCAGTCGTTCTCGTTCGCGCTTGGACCTCTTCCGCAGCGCGGTCACCGTTAGGTGTGCTGACTGCAGAGGTGAAGATCTGGCACCTGGCAGCAGCAGGAACCGGTGACCTCCCAGCCGGTCGGTTTAAACCACTGGAACTGTTGTTTGCTTCCTTAGATTTCTGGCTTTATCCTAAGCAGCTTCCAGCAGCTATTCCTAAATGTATAGAGCCTCATGGAGGAATAAAGCTAGAATTTGTGAGCTGGGAGATGTGTAGGCTGTGCACGTGGCCCGGTTGCTCGCACAGATCTGTCTTGTTTTGCCTCGTAATTGGGCACAACGTGGAGGCTTCATCAGCGTCCTTGGTTTAGCAAAGACTTACTGAGCCCGGTAAGTTGGTGTGCTCTGGAGAAGGCAGACCTGTATCTGCAGCAGTACCGCAGTCCTGTCCTAGGGCGAGGAGATGGTATTTTTTAATTAGAAGGAAAGACAGAAAGGAAAAGACCTTGTTCCTACTGAATGAAGGTGGAGGGATGGCGTTTCTAGGAAGCTGTAACGAAGGAAGTTCGTTGTCTTGGCGTCCCTAAGGAAGATGAATTAGGTGACTCTTTAGAAGATGACAGGAGGATTTTGGAAATGGTCATGAGAACTCTTCAAAATTGGGGTTTGTCCCTACAAGAACATTCAGGAAAGTTAGTCTGAATGAACTGAAGTTATAAATTGAAATAGAACTCTAATTTGGTTTAGCTCAGTTCATCTGCTTTGCTTTTATTCTGAATGAAGGTGTCCATGCAGGAATTTAATTTCATCTAATAGAGATACTTAAATTCATATCCTTAATTAGGTTAGGCTGCAGCTGTGTTTGCTTCTTCCGTAAACATTCTCAGCCAACCTGTAGCCAAGGCGTTGGGCGCCGGCAGAAGGGAAGCGATGCTTGGGGGAGGGCTGAGAAGCCCAGGGCCCTCGCCTGCCCTCCTGAAGAGGGGAGCTCGGATGGCGCAATGCCCCTCCGCATCCAGCTCCTCCCTGCGGTCCCCGCTGTGGAGCCTGGCAGGGAGCTAGGACATCGCTGTTCGACCCGGCAGATCCCAGACCTCGGCACTTCAAACCGTTTTCTATGTAGATTAGGGAATTTATAAGTTCTGTAATTAAAGCTTGTCCTGATTTGTGTAACAGTACGTTAGTATTGTTACTCCCTCGTTATTCTACTTAATGTGCTTCATATTACTTCTTTATTCCTCTTCAGTAATTTTCCAGAATTAATTGCACAACTCCACAAATCCAGAATTAGCCGTACAAGATCCCCATCCAGATTTTTTTATTTTCAATCCAGATTTTTTTAATGTTTCAAATGCTTGTTTGCTCAAGTATGTTCGTATGAATTTCTGGACACATTGCAGAGTACATGCTGACACCGTGAACAAAAAGCTGGCCAGTCTGCCTATGAACAGCGTGCTGTGGTATGCGGTGTCGTGGCACTCAAGGAATTCGGTGATCTCTGTACGAAGAGCAAGATGTTGTTTATTGTTTGCTTGGAAAGGTTGTTTCGGGTCTGTAAAACTCGCTACACGACCCAGAGTGAGTGCCGTCAGCTTCAGGCATGTTCTTGCTTTACTCACCGTCACAAATACCTCGCAACGATGTAGGGTGTGATGCAGATCTGCGACATCGCATTGGATGGGCTCTTAAAAGGCTCTGAAGGCTGTGTCTTGGTATGAGCTTATTCATCTCTGCTAGAAGGATATTTTCCTGCTAGTGAAATTGGTTTTTTTGTTCCTGTCAGCATATTGTGGCTTAGATTCTTCACTCCTGGACTGAGAGCGTTTGGAAAGGTTTTATGAGAGATGAGAAACTTAATGGGCTTTCAAGCTGTTAACTCTTGTGCTGCTAAACGTCGATGTCTGGTTCGGTAACCCCGCGGAAGGCGACGTGGTCGTTATAACACCGAGAGATGCGAGAACTGTGACCCAAAAAGGACGATGCAAACGCCCCGTTTGGACTTGGTCTCCTAAACTCTGCTTGGTGTTTTTCCAACTGAACCGCGTCCCCCGTGTCTGTGGCAGCGCGTTGGCTCCGAAGTGACGTTTCACCCCGTTTGTCAATCCTGCCGTCGCTCCGGAGGCTTGGCCGTGGGAGCCCCCACGCTGGGTGCTTTCCCACCCCGTGGAGCACGGCTCCTGTGCTGCGGGAGGGTGTCTTCCAGCGTGGCATGAGATGTTTGGTGTGACTTAGGAGATAAAGCAAATACAGCTGCAATTCAGAAACTGAAGAACTAAAAACGTGCTTTAACTTAGCACGGCGTGGATTGCATACGTGATTTCACAGAATCATGGAATGTTGGGGGTTGGCAGAGCCCTCTGTGGGTCACCCAGCCCAACCCCCTGCCCAAGCAGGGTC